GATGGGCTGGGGCTGGTGCGGGGCTGGCTGCTGTGGGGCCTCAGTGCAGGCCATTCTGGGCAGGGGAGCCGGCGGGACGCGGCAGCTCAGGGCCTGGGCATGGACAAGGTGCTGCGGGGACCGAGTCTGACCTGAGGCGGCGTATCAAGCCTCCTTTTCCTTCTGTTGGGTGCCTGCTGACAACAGCCGTCCGGCACCGCTCTCCCAGGGCTGCTCAGCCTGTCTCTGGGCTTGTGTTGCCCCTTCAATTATTATTATTTCTTTGCTAGAGTTAATCAGTAACCAGCAGGCCTGGAGACTTTGAATTACCTGATGGAAGGGCCAAAGTGGGCAGGGCCTATTAGTGAATCAGAACCGTCCAGTTGGGGCCAGGTGCCTCGGGGCAGGTGAATTCCCACCAGCACCACCACCAGGCCACCCCTGGAGCCTTTTAACAGGCAGATCTCTAGCCCCCAAACCCAGAGACACACCCGGCAGGTCTAGATGGGGTCTGAGAAGCTACAGGTAAACATTGTCAGTCCAACACAGGTGGACTGGGGGCCCCCGCTTTCAGAAGCGCTGCCACAGGCGGTCCCGGACTAAACCTTTTGGATGTCAGGATCCTTGGGGGCAAATGTGTGTTTGTGCTTTGAACACATTTACGAGCAGGCAGCCCATGAAAAAGAGAGATGGAAACGTGTTCTGAGAAGGTGGCTGAGGGAAGCCCAGCCGAACAGTCGGTTTACAGTTACTACTTCCCGAGCATCTCATCGGTGCCCTGCGATGCTCTTCACATACCTAATGACAGGCACATTAGGGGTGTGCTGGGCACATCACATTGCACAGAACAGCTGCCATTTATCTGGCCGTCTCTGAGGAAGCCCCCTGCCGGGGGTCCTATCTGCGGCCCCTGGAATCCTGGCCCAGTAGAAAGGAGGCCCTGGGGGCCTGGAAGCAGAGGCAGGCTGGGGTCAGGGCAGGCCTGCTGGCTGCCTGCCAAGGGGCCTTCCATGGGGCAGGAATCTATTGGCTTCCAAGGTCGGGTTCCCAGCCTCTGGTGTCCAGGAACTCAATCTCATCAGTGTGTGTGTGGGCAATAAGCTTCCAGGAAGGTGACTCAAGTTAACAGGACTCCGTGGGACTGAGAGGCAAGCAGCGCGGCAGTTAAGAAAACGTAATCCCTTTACCTTGCCCTGAACGTCAGAGGGCGGGTGGGGTGGCACAATCCACTCCCTCAGACAATTGCCTCGCTCAGGACGTGCGGAGCGATCCTTTGCTGCTCAGGTCACCTGTTGAGAGCCACGCAGATTCCAGCTCTTCTGATCCAGCTCTTCCCCACCCCAAGGGGCAGGCGGTGCCCTCTTGCTTCCCCCCCCCCCCCACCCTCTGTCTCTGAAATCTAATTCTCCCCACCCCGCACCATGGCATCTCTTCTCCTTAGTCTTCAGTTTGACTGTCAGTTATTTCTTTCCATTCTGTTTCCCCCCAGATCAAGATGAAGGGGATCTCAGATGGAGCGCTGGGCATCTGTTTTGCCCCCATGCCAAGCATCTGTGTTTCCTTCTACAGTGGCCTGAGTCCCCTTTGGGCAAACATTGCTCCCCACTGTCATTCTGTGTGGTTCCCAGTTCTGTGGAAGCGGGAGGTGATGTGAGTCAGGGAAGACCAATCAGCGTATTCCGTCCTGCTGGCTACAGCCATTGGTTCAAACATAGGCATCTGATCTAAGCCGAGCCAATAAGATTCAATTCTGGGACTTGTGTTGGGACTACTGAGAAATTTCTCTGCTTGATTTCCGAACTCTGGAGCTGCCAGGACCACTGCATGCAAAGAAACTGCCTAAGAGTAAGGTCAGCACGCGTGTGTGCGCGCACACATACACACACACACACACACTAATAATAATAATAAAAATAGAGAAGAGTCAGAAAAAGGGCTAATGACATTGTTTGAATGCCCAGATCCAGCCATGCCTGAAGCCAGAGCTCTATCTTTGGCTTTTTTTTCCGTTATATTAACCTCTAAAATCCACCCCACTATTTATTCTAGAGCCAGTGTCAGTTGGACTTCTGCCCCTTGCAAGGGAAATTGTAACATAGCAAGAGATGAAGAAGCCTTTATTTGCTGTCTGACTCAGGGTCAAACATCAACCAGACAACCAGCCTGCACATGGCCAAGAGTGAGCCAGTGCCTGTGTGTCCCTAGACTAAAAGATACGGTTTCTCTTCTCTGCTTTGACTGGCACTTTATAATGCTCCTTTCTGTTTGCTAAGCCCTGGGAAAAAACTGGGCATAGGAAGAGAAAATATTTGTTGAGCTGCATTCATTTATACTGAGAAATAGAAATTCCAGTGGTCAATACGGTGACGTCAGCTTGGCCCTTGCCCCCTCTTCCACTGGCCAGCTCTATTGGAAGCCAAATAATCAGGAAGATAGCTGGGTGAGGTTGAAGTCAGACCAAGAGCAGTTACTTTGGGTTAGTGTGTAAAGAATAACTGTGTGAAATTATTGGGAAAAGACAATGAAGAAAATACATTGATTATAACCATCCAA